GAGCTCATTATGATGATGCATTACCGAGTGGGCCCAGAGATACCTCTCCGTCATATGGAGTGACAAATCCCAGTCTCGATTCGTGTCAACCCAACAGACACTTTCGGAAACACCTGTAATGTACCTTTATAGTCACCCAGTTACGTTGTGACGTTTGGTACACCCAAAGCAATCCTACGGTATCCGGGAGTTGCACAATCTCATGTTCTAAGGAAATGATACTTGACATTCAGAAAAGCTACAGCAAACGAACTACACGATCTTTGAGCTAAGCTTAGGATTGGGTCTTGTCCATCACATCATTCTCCTAATGATGTGATCCCGTTATCAATGACATCCCCATGTCCATAGCCAGGAAACCATGACTATTTGTTGATCAACGAGCTAGTCAATAGAGGCTCACTAGGGACACATTGTGGTCTATGTATTCACAAATGTATTACGATTTCTGTATAATACAATTATAGCATGAATAATAGACAATTATCATGAACAAGGAAATATAATAATCATTTTATTATTGCCTCTAGGGCATATTTCCAACATGTACATGGAAGTTTGACGCATGGACAAATCCAGGGTGGTGGAGTATATTCGCCAAGGTGGAGTTTGTTGGAGTTGTGTCGAATATAGTGTACAAGGTAGGTTACAGTTGGAGTTGTAGTTGTATTGTGTTTAGATAGGATATGGAGTCGTGTCCTAGTAGGACACTTGTATCCTAGGCCTCTCATATATAGCGGGGCTAGACACACGATGTAACCCATGCCAACATAATAGCACCGGAACGCAGGGGAAGCCGGCGGCATGTGCCGGTGTCCAGGGCGACCGGGTGCGGTATTGTAGCGGTGTCATGGGGAGGAGCGCCCATAGTCAGGTCCCGAGGATGTAGCCATATCGGTGAACCTCGTTAACAAATCTCGGTGTCGTGCTCGTGTGATTGCTTAGTCCTCGGATGATCGACGGTGTGCCTCGGATTTATTCTAACAGCGCACAAGGGAGCTGCTGGCGAGGGGCTGCCGGAATACTGGCCCTAGGAGGGATTACTAGTTTTAGTATTGTTCGTTTTCAATTTTATGCATTGTACCTAGTAGTTAAGTATGATCACGTATATGTGATGATATTATATATATATATATTCTGTGATGAATTAATGAACATTTAATATATATATATATTTATATTATGAATTCCATTTTCTATTTGTTTTTGTATACTAATTTATCATCCACATATACAGAATGGAAAGTGTATATACACACATTGAAACAAAACATATAAGAATGGAAAATAGAGTACACACATTGAAACAGAGCAATAAACGGAGCAATACTATGATTGTTGTGAACACATAGCTATCCACGTCGAAAGGACTTCTCAAAATAAAACGCGTCCATGAGACCATGACCAACAGCCCTTGCCTACGGTAGCTCTTGGCTCTGCCTGAACTCGTGTAGGCGTTCGTCCAAGTGGTCGACACACTCGCGGTACATCTGGAGCGCAATCTCGAGCTCCAAGTTGGCTATTTCATCGGAGATCACCAGCTCGAGGATGCGACGGCCATGTTCCTCTACTGCGCCCAGGTGGACACCTGGGCCAAGGAGGCGGTCGAGCCTACAGACCAGCGCATTGGCATCCAGCGGGCCGCGGACAAGGCAAACATCGGCACCCATGCGAACGGCACGGCGGGCGTCCGGTGCAAGTACGACGCGGCCGGCCTCTGGTGCAAGTACGGCGCTGAGGGCCTCTGCCCACTCCTAGCGAGGAATGGGGTACTGATCGGATGTGTACCCAGCTACAACGCCGTGTCGACAGCAGGCAAGCGCCGATGGATCCGCTCTTACTGTGCGGCGCCCCGTGCCTCTCGCTCTGCAGCGCTCAAACGGTCTCTCCGTGCGGCGAGCCGCAGCCTATCAGTGCAGACGCACCTAGCTTGCTCTGCGGCGCGCCATTGATCATGATGTGCAGCGAGCTGCAGCCTATCGGCGCTGACATGCCTATCTTGATCCGCGGCGCTCAAGTGCCATGCGCCAAAGGTCTGCTCAACCCTGGCGATGACGCACATCACGACGTCGTCCATCGCGTTACCGGGGAGTGCCTCGGCCTCGACGGGCCATGGCGCCTGCTCGTTTTCCTCGTCGACGAGGTTGATGGTAGAGGCGGCGTTTTGGTGGGTTGGCATGCTTGGAAAAGGTGGATGTGCTACAAGCTGCCCTTGTCGCCTCCGTGCGTCGCGCGCCGCCTATGCGCAATATTGCTGGGTGGCGGGAAACAGGTGAGGAAATGGTGGAAGACGGTGACGTGTTCATAAAACGCCATCAATTAATGGAAAGTTAGCATAGAAGGAACATCGAGCTGGCACAAGAAGGAGATGATGATCAGATGAACACGGACCACACTAGGAAACCGTTTCTGTTATTATCAGTATTTGCACACATTTCTGATTACAAACCTGCTTGCGGCGTATCACAAACATCTTGTTGTATTGAACCGTTTCTGTTCTCTTGCATCAACACAAACAGTTCATCTGAGTGAACCGCAAGCCGTATATCACAAACATCTTCATCTGGCAGCCCGTTTCTTTTGTGTTGCCTAATCACAAACAGTTCATCCGAGTGAACCGTATGCTGTATATCGCACACACCTTCATCTGGCTGTCCGTTTCTTTTGTTCCTCCTCATCACAAACAATTAATTGAGCTGAACCGTATGCCCTGCATCGCACACGTAACTAAAATCTAAACCGTGTTGATGCATCCCCCATCGCAAATGTTCTGCACCTATTTTGATGGGTTTTTTACACCACCGTTTGCGATTATGGCATCGCACACAGTTTCGTCGAAGGGTCTTTGATCGTAGTGTCGCGTTAGCAGCATCCTGCAGTAGTGATTCTTCCTCTACCACTACAAGAGCGCATCAATATGGACGCGAGTGCACGAGTGAACTATCTCAAGATGATGCATGAAGATATAAGGCACACCACCGAGCGCCAAGTACAACGACTCGCGACCAAGCTCAACGTCAACAAGCAACCCATGATATTCAACATTGGAGATCTCGTGTGGCTACACCTTCGCAAGGAACGCTTCCCCAACGAACGCAAGTCCAAACTTCTACCATGAGCCGATGGACCCTTCAAGGTGCTAGCACGCTACAACAACAACGCTTACAAGATCGACCTCCCGCGCGACAAGTACAACGTGAGCGACATCTTCAACGTCAAGGATCTCTCGCCCTACCATGATGATGAAGATTTTGATCCGAGGTCGGGTCTTTCCCAAGGGGGGAGATGATGTGGAGCATCCCAAGGTCATCCCCATGGACCTACCTACGTCTGCTACGACACCACTTGGACCAATGATAAGAGCTCGAGCAAAGGCTATCGAAGATAAGGTGAACCCGCTCCTCTCCGAACTACCACTTTCTATACATGAGACATGACTGCTACCTCAAGCGGAAACACCATGTGTAATCAGGTACTTGGAGGAAAGCCAAGGTGCAGCTACATCCAACGGACAAGACGACGAGGACACCAAGTGCCAAGAAGAAGAGCTGCCACTGAAGCTACAGCCATCGGACGACAAGCCAGCACCGGACGTCCGACACCTGAAGCCCCAGCCTGTCCAGGCCCCGGCCAACGCAAGCTACAGCGAGCGGACGTCCGACCAGGACCGGACGACCGGCGCCCCCGCACCCGAGCCGAAACAGCGGACGTCCGACGCGACCGGACGACCGGCCATCTCCGGAAATCCGGTGCCACCTCAACCGAGCCAGAACCAGCGGAAGTCCGGAAGCCATCGGACGTCCGGACGACCGTCCCACCGGACGTCCGGCAGGTGTCTGCGCTCAGTTCCGAGCCCGAGGCCCATGTACCCCTTCACTTTGCCCTCATTTGCACTAAGACTATAAATAGACCTCCTCCTCCTCCTAGTTAGGGTTAGCGTTGTGTTAGCTCATATGTGAGATAGAGCTTCGCTTATCCATCCGGATCTACTCCTTCGCGAGGGACCGTCACCTCTTAGGAGAAGATCCACCTGGATTTAAGACCCCTAACGGGAAGACATCAAGACCTCCTCATGGAGAAGAACCGGTTATCCTATGTATCGTCCATTGTTGAATTTGGATCGTGTATCTCTTTTGTGTTCGAGGATCTAGCATATGTGTGATCGTTCTTTGTTGGTTTGAGTGATTCTCTCATGTTTCCCCTCGTGTCCTTTGTGTTCTTCGTTGGAATCCGCTTTTTCGTGAAAGATCGGCCGTTTAGGGTGCCACCCTACATCACGCGGGAAAGTGACATGACGACGGGGAGAAAAGTGGAGGTTGTAGGCAGCGAGGATATGGGCTATTTAGCCCTAGCGTCGCCGTTTTTATAGCGACAGGAAATGTGGCAGGAAATGTGGCGGGAATGACCACGGGAAGTTGGCAGGCGACGACCACCATTAATTGGTGCCATGGGCGCCTAGCCTTCGACGCCATTGGCGTGAGAGGCTGATGAGGGAGGTGAAACTTCCCTCTCATGCAAGCGATTTGCAAATGAAACGCCCTCCAACCCAGTGCGCCTCCAACCCAGTGCCTCACAGCCTCTAAATATGGAGGCCTGCAGGCTCAATTTAAAGCTCCGTTCATAAATTCTGTCGATCAAGAGGTGTATGGCGACAGTGTTAGAACAACCTTTTCGGCTAAAATCGTTATATGGACGGTTGTTATGGTGATCGGGCAGATAGAGTTGCTCTAAGCACCTGAGCTGTCCTTTCCCTTACCAATGGTTGCCTGTATTTCCAAATGCAGTACAGAAGAACGAACCCCCCCACCCAGCCACGAAACAGAGTCTACATTTTAACAGTTCACACAGAAGCAGAAGCGCTACAACTCTCTCCGACGAAGAGAGTAGCTCTTTCACTGTCGGCCCGGTCGAGCTGATCCCACAAAAATGGCGTCGTGAGCAAATGACGCAGTGAACAGAACCATACCGGGCCGGCCAGCGACGAACATGGCGGTGGCGACCTACACTTCGACGGTCTTCTGGTTGAGCGCCGTGTACCTCCACCTCTCCTTCTCCACGAAGTCGGCGTCCAAGAACTTGGCCACGAACGCCCACAGCTTGTACGCGTCCTCGAAGTTGCTCAAGAACCCCAGCGACGCATTCACCACGTGGATCCCCACCTCGCCGCCGCCGTCGCTTGCCTGCTCAAGAACGGCGCTCCTGTCGGCCTCGTACTTATCGGCGAACCAGATGTTGCGCAGGAAGCCGCAGGTGAGGGAGATGGCCTGCCGGTCGGCAAGCTTCTGCACCAGCGCCGGCGCCACCTTCTCCCCCTTCCAGTCGTACACGTTGAACGCCAGCGAGGGCCCCCGCTCGAACTTGACGCGCGGCCCGTACACCCGCACCAGCTGCTTCCCGCCGCCGTGCTCCGGGTGCGGGTGCCGCAGCTTCTGCATCGCCACCACCAGCCAGTTGCTGATGCACCGCAGCCGGTTGCCGATGGCGATGAGGCCCAGGGCGTCCGCGTGGTCCAGCCCCCTGCACTCCACCTCCAGCATGCGCTCCTCCTCTGCTTCGGCTGCTCCCGGCGGCGGCCATGGCCGACTGTCTTCTTCGGCTTCGGATGGCCTACGGTCGACCTCGCAAATTTCCGGCGTGTCGCCGTTCTCGGCCTCGTCTGTCCTGCGACCGGTGGCGGTGGCGCTGAGCGGGCCGGAAAATGAGCAGGTGGTATCGACATCGTCCGCCGTTGGCGGGTCGCCCGCTTTGGGGAAGGTGAGCGAGTGCTCCAGGTCGGTGGAATACTCGTCGCGAAGCGACCACCGCCGCGCCGGAACGATGTTGACGATGCCGATGCTGCGCGCGACCGCGGAGCGCTCGAGCGCGCCGAGGCTGGCCTTCTTGACGAACAGCCCGGCGAAGCCCGAGGGGTTCTCGCCGAACACCTTGAAGAAGTTGCAGACGATGAAGTCCGGGCGGAGGAGGGAGAGGCCGAGGGTGTCGAGGTCCTTGGCGCCGAGCGCGCACGCGTCCAGCGCCACGTGCCACCCCTGCTCCGCCGCGGCGCTCATCCAGAGGTACGGGTACCTCGCGCCGGTCATCCGGGACACCAGCGGAAACACGAAGAGCCCGCGGCCGCGCTGCCGCCGCCGCCCACGGAGCAGCTTTTTGCGGAGGTCTGCGGCGTGGACGCGCATGCTCGGCCACGCGAAGCTCGCGTTCATGACCTCCGCGCCGCGGCTGCGCGCGCACTGAGCCATGGCACCCACCGCCTCGCTCTCGTAGTCGTACACGGAGAGCAGCTTCTTCCTGCCGCCGCCGGGAGTGAAGGAGTAGGACTCCGCCAGCAGCCGGAAGGCCGTGGTCCGGTTCGCCGTGCACACCATGGTGTACTCGTCCTCGGGGATCTTAAGGGACGCCATGATGCGCCTCGTGACGGCGCCGCTGATGCCTCCCGCCGCGGATTGCGCGGCCGTGCCGTCCCCACATTGCTGCACCTGCGACCGCAGGCTCGCGGACCTGTACGCGATGTCGAAGAAGGGCGGCTGCCACGCCGACGGCTCCGCCGGAGCTGACGTGGACGGCAGCGACGAGTTCATCTGCGCGTGGGAGAAGAGGTTCATCCCGTTGTAGTCCAGGCAGACGTGGCGGTCGAGGTGCCGGTACTCCCCGTCCCTGATCGCGTCCGCCGAGCCGGCAAGCCCGCCGTACTGCGGGAACGCGGAGGCGAACTCCGAGTAGGCCTCGGGGAGCGGCGGGAGGGACTCGTGGTTGGTGAACACCGGCGCCCCGGGGAAGAGCCCCGACGCGGCCGACCTGACGAAGTTGTGGCGCGACGTCCTCGCCGACGTGGTCGTGACGGTCGTAACCGTGGCCGTCCGCTTGGCGCGCACCGGCACGCAGCCGGGCATGCACCCGTGCTCGCGGTCCGCAGCCCCATTCGACGCCGATGCCGCCGGCATCTCGCGCTGCTTCTGCTTCTGCCTCTGCCTCTGCCTCCTGTCGGCGTCGCCGGCTGCCGCGTTCTTGCTGCCCCTGGATAAGTACTTTGTGAAGAGGAAGAGCATGGTTGCCTCATGGGCGGGTTGTCGTTGGGCTAGCTAGCTCGGCGCCGGCCGGGCGCGGTCGAGGCCGCTGTCTAGGAGCTGTCGGACAGCGACCGGATGGCCGGGCGGCCGGCCGCGGCCGCCTCTTTCTGAGCTCCTTGTTTGCTTCGCTAGCTGGTGATGAACGACGATGTGCGCGCCAGTGGCCCTCCTGCTGCCGGGGAAAAGCTTTAGTTTCTGCTTGAGCTAGCCAAGTCCACAGGCTCGCGCAGACAGCGACGTAGCAAGAAAGCGTGAAGCAGCACAGCACCCTCTGGTTCATGGAGGCTGGTACGCAGTTCCAATCAATGAGAAACCGCTGAATGACAGATGATTATATAGGATGATGGATGATTATTAGCCCTTTTTAATCTGGCCTGAATGATTGTCTTCAACCTGAACATATATCATTCTCTTGTGTGATGATGGATGGTAAACCAGAGCAGACAGAGTTGCTTTCCCACTCCCCCGGATTCATGGATTTTATTGTTTTGTTCTTCCTGTATTTACGCCACCGACGTGTGCTTGCGTTACTTGTGTAAACTATATGGATTTATTTATGACTGCGTTTGTTACTCTAGACACTTAGTCAAATTCTCCAAGACGTCGCTCTTGACGTTGACACGGTACTAGCGTGTGCTCTGTTGTGCCTAAAATTACCGTCCCACTGAGATCTCCATCCTAGGCGGTTCTAACCTAACTGGTTCATTAGTGTAGAGGACCCAAGGCGTCGGAAAAGGAAGACGCGATTTTCTCGATAAATTGGCGATAGCAACAACCTCTTTCCATGGCCGATGGCAACCTCAGCGAAGTTTTCTTTTCTTTTCTTTTTGGAATCAACCTGGTTCCAATTGCAAGATGCCAGACGGCGGGCCAGATCAATCACTGGGCCACCAAGTGTTGCGCATGTTTGGCGACTGACTGACTGATGGTGGCAAAAATAAGTGGAGAGGAACGGCCATGGAACCGACCGGGGTAGAGATGGCGCGTTTTGACCAGCCTGCTTCGATCGGCTCTCAGCAGGAGCTCGTTGACGCTGACCGTATTCCCTGCCATTCCACCCATGCTATGCTGCTACGGCCTGCAGGGTTGCACCACTATGTACATATATATTCCCAACGTGACACCAACAAGTATAATCAAAATTGGCGTCCACCTCCGGCTGCTACCTGCACATACGAGCGGTTGAGCAATTGCGATTGCCGATCATTCCAGGCAGAAAAAGGGCGTGGAAGTGGACAGCGCGCCACCGCGGGGAAAAGAAGCCCCACCACGCCACGACCGGTTCAACGACCTCGACGCGCGGGGCGCGGCTCTACACAGATAGAGAGAGGCCGTCCTGCACTCCGTCTTTGCTCTGGACAACGGCGACTGACGAGGAGACGGCGATCGATCTGTGTGAAAGATGTGAAAACGTGACCGGTAATCGGCGCCTCCACTGTACCTGTACCTTACCTGGAGGCCAAGCGCAAGGCCCCGGCCAACACGTATGTCCACTATTCCGATAATAATAAGGGATATGGTAAAGGAGCATGATCTATCGAGATGCATATGGATGACACGATGGTTTTAGCGAGTTCGGGTCTCTCGCGGTGAAGATAACAACCCTACGTCCCGTGCTCCGTAGAGGCTTTGTTTTATTTTAAAATGTATTCGGAGATTACAATGAGAGAAGAACGGATTCCCGTGTGTTGAGACTAATGACGAAAGGAGAGAGAGAGGTGGAAGAAAAGAGGCCCCTTAGCCTAGTGGTGGGGGTAGCTTATACAGAGTGCGCCACCCCCTCACCTCCTATGTTACATAGTGGGACATGAATGCCATAATGCCAATTCACTACTAAGCTTTCACTATGAGAATGATGCTTTGACTGCTTTGCTGCCTGCTGGTCTTCGCATATACGAGTGAGTCATACGGTCAAGTGGTGAACTTTCATTCGAGTGGATAGTATGCTGCTTGTCCGAGTGGATAGTATATGTGTATGAAATTTATCTGGGTCCACATGTTGCGTGGACCCCATGCTTTATGATATTTCAACCCTTTGTGGGCCTACCTGTTATGTGTATCTCCAACATTAGCCCCTGAATCGATTGTGATTTTGCAGAACGAGTTTGTGAAAGACACAATTTGACCCGAGTGATTACGGAAATACTCGGTATCCGTCATCGTGCTTTCAGACAACCAAGGTTTGAACAAAATCTCAATGGATTCCGACATTGCGCTCCCCGACTGATCTGGGGTAAGTGCCCTCGAGGAGCAACTTGGTGACATTCGTTCATCTCTCGGAAGAGGTTAACTCGTGATCAGAGTATGGGTGTGTCATTAAATCTAGACAACAAGATTGACGCATGGACTGCTCTCTCGGAGAAATGCCATTCTTATCCCGGAGGAACGTCAATACGAGTCGGTTCTAGATCCAAACATATGAGTTTCACGCTTTGAGTCCTAGAAGAAGGCTCAAAACAGGTCCATGGAGGAGCGTTAAACTCACCTTATAGCAACTTTTTTTGTAGTCGACAAGAGCCTTAGAACTTGCTTGTTGTTGTTCGTCACTCGGACTCGGCAGGTCATACCGAGTGGAGATTACTCCAGTGGGGACACGCTAAGTGCACCCACTGGGTGTAGTCCCCGAGACCGCCGTCGACTGCGGGCAGTCGGCGGGGGTCTGAGAGAACTAAAAATCTTCTTAGTTGGTACTGATCGAACTTGTTCTTCTCCGACTCAGAGGTCGAGTGGTCTGGAGCTGGTATTGCATCGGGCAAAATGTTTCTTTCTGAGTTCTCTTCCACCGAGGGCACGCTGAGTGCACCCACTGGGTGTAGTCGCCGAGCCTCTGTCAGACTAGATGAGTCTGGCAGAGGGTTTAAGTCTCCTGGTAAACCTTCATGCAGTCGGCACGGTAAATATCTTGGTCTGAAATTGAGTCAATCGGATGGATCTTCAAGCGCTTCACATGGTAAATAAGCTCAGCCTAGAGCTGAGTCAGTCGGACTGATCTTCGTGCACTTGGCACTATAAATAAATTCAACATGGAACTAGATCAATCAAGTGAATCTCTGTGCACTCGGCACGATGAATGAATTTGGCCTTGAAACTATCGACTGTAGAAAAAACCTCGACACTCCAGGGAGTAATCGTCCTAGTAGTACTTCTTACATTGACTATTAGCTTTTGCAGGAAAGGGATATTTGTAAGAGTAACGTGCTTCTCGACTGATCGGGGTATGTTGACTGCAAGAAAAAACTTGGTGGCACTCGTATGTCTCCCAGAGGAGATAGACTAGTGGTCCGATGTGGACGTGCCATGAAACATGAGTGGTGAGGCCCTCATTATCCGGGGGGAACACCAGCACATGCCATCTCTGGGTCCAAGTTTGTGAAACTCACGCCTTGGATCCTAGAATAAGGGCCAAGTGTATCCATAGAGGAGCGTCGTTTTCACCCTTTTGCGGTCCTGAAGATGACTCCGGGTAATGATTTGGGCGATCGACCGAGTGGACGGTGCTACCCTCATAGATCTTCGGCGGACCGAGCATGTATGATCAGAAAAATATTCTTGACGTGATCAACAGGTTGATCAAATGGGTGGAACCCCTGAGGGCGGCATAGCCCATGGCTGTGCGCGGCCCCCGAGTGATGCTCGAAAGAGGTAAGCTTGCTACAAAGTGCGATATGAGGTTTGATCATATGAGTAACTTAGTCATTCCCGTGCTGGGGGCGAAGTGGTAAAGACATGTCCAACTGATGGTGACACGTGTGGCGGCCGAGGGGTGAGGACGTGTACAACTGAGTGGCGACGCGCGGGGGCGGCCGAGTGGTGAAGACGTGCATAACCGAGCGACTACGCGCAGGCGGCCGAGTGGTGAAGACGTGCACAGCCAAGTGGTGACACGCGGGGCGGCCGAGTGGTGAAGATGTGCACAACCGAGTGACGACGCGTGGGGCGGCCGAGTGGTGACGACGTGCACAACCTAGTGGTGATGCGCAGGGCGGCCGAGTAGTGAAGACGTGCACAACTGAGTGGCGACCCGCGGGGCAGCCGAGTAGTGAAGACGTGCACAACTGAGTGGCGACGCGTGGGGAGGCTAAGGCGAAGGCATGTGCCACCGAACGGCAAAAATGGTCCTCGGAGGAGTTAGTCAGATGCTTTTGAAGCTGATGCAGTGACAAGGTCGGTGTAACGTGGTTGTGGTGCGAGAAGACCGGTGTGCCAACTGATTCTGAGTAGGAATGAAGATGGCGCGCAGAGCGTCTCGGTGATCATGCAACTTAACCAAGTGGCGGGTCTGAGTGCACTCGTTGAAGTAAAGGATCTGACTGGTGTCAAAGTACTCGACCACTCAGGGGAGTGTGATTCTGAATGAGCTGCAGCACCCGAGTGCGGCGTAGCCCCCGAGCATACTATAGGCTTCGACCGTGGTCCTGTCGGAACACGATTAATATAGTTTTGACTGGATAAATTGTAATTCATCAAGTCAGACTCGGGTAATGGTGAGGAGGAGATTCCGAGTGGTGCTCGAAAGAGGCAAACTCACAAAGGAGTGAAGTGTGCAGTTTGATTACAAAAGTGACGTATCTGTCTCATGCTTGACGAGGTCTATATCATTGATATGATGAAGAGGATCCCATAAAGGGGTCGACCGGATGTGTTTGAAATCAACAGAGCGACAAGGTTGGTGTTGTGGTGCGCTAAGACCAGTATGGTGACCGAGTCTGAGTAGCGATGAAGTTGGCGCATAGGGCCGTCGAGTGGTCGCGTAACTTGTGTATGAAAAATAGTACAAGCCAACGTAATAATTTCTCAAGGAAATTTGATATGTGCTGAAATAAATTGTGTGAATAACACCCATAGACACCCGCTGGGAGTCTGAAAGAGTGAAGGATCCCTTCGAACTTGTCGAAGTGAAGGATCTGACTGAACTTGTTGGAGTACTGGCTCAAATAAAACGGAAGTGTAGTGTTTCGACTGAGTTACAACCCCGGAGG